TTGCGCGTAATCCTAGGCAACTCCGTAATTGCTCAATGTTGGGTTGTGGCGTTCGACTTCGACGGGTGTTATACACCGTCGAGAGTTTTGAGCGCATGCATACTGCACCTAGGTAGTGGTACTTCCGACTACCATATCCTGAGAGGCTGCAAAGTTCACGCATCGTTGGCCATTGTCGTTCGGCATGCAGGCTGTTTGGCCCGATTGCCAGTCTTTACATTGCCTCCCGGTTGCGAATAGCCGCCATACACCTGCTCCAGCTGCGCATAGAACGCTTCTTTCTCGTCGTCGGGTCTCCCTTAATGTGGGCAGTGCACGTTGATGATGCTGTAGTTGAAGAAACGGCCCTTAATCCTCAACTTGCACATGCTCGCGTTGATCGGCTGCCAACCAATCACGCGTTGGTGCATCTTACTCAGCACTACAAATCCGGTTCCCAGCTCGTTGGTTGTGCCACAGCTCTGGTAGAAAGTACACACTGCTAAAAAGTCATGTAAATTTCGGTTCCCTGGGACCGACACATATAAGCGGCCCTTTTGACATAAGAATCAGTTGAAAGAAACGATAAAATCAATTCAATCAAACGTTCTCTTCGTTTGAGAACACTTAATTTTATAGGGGAATTCACGTATTCTCGTCAATCTAAGCAGCGTCTGCACTTCTACTAGCATTTTCTCAGCGTCACGCACATATATGATGTGTATGTTTGTTTACATTCATCTGCTGCTTGCTTTTCTATCCATTCCAATCGACAAAATTTTTCAAAACGTTTTGAAAGCGTTTTTACAACGCTCCAAACTTCTCAGGTGAGTGTGACTATTGTCGGCAGCCTCTTTTTCTTCGGCAACCTTCCCATTAGAACTGCGTGTTAACCAGCTGTTCTATTATCGGCAACTCGAAATCAACCCCATTTTGTAGTGCGTATGCTTTATTTGAAGAAAAATGTAGCATTACTGGATTGCTCGATCGTTCAAATATAATCAGATTGAAGCTGAAAGGCTAAACAATCGTTTGGACACATTCAGGGAAGTGCGTTGATGGGAAAACATAGTGAAATTAACGTTTAAATTTTGGTTGCCGAAAACAGTCAATGGGTGCCGAAGCCAACATTTACCCTATGCAATGTTTGTTTACATTCCATGATTTACGTCCAATATGGATTACGTCTCGTGTAAAATTAATTATTTCTAAGTGTGTAGCCGCTCGAAGCCCGCTTTTCCATATACACTTAGAAATACCTACACACTTAGAAATAACTAATTTCACACGTGACGGAATCCATCTTTGACATAAAGAATAAGTCGTAAACAAACATGTCATGTAAAATTAAGTGGTCCGAAACTGCAAAGTTCGTCACTCAATGTCTATTACGACTCAATTTTATGTCAAAATCGACGCTCTTATATGTCAGTATCAGGGCACCTAAATTTACATTAAGTTTTCTAAGTGTGTACCTTTTGTCCCGTCCAGCAAAGTTCCTGCAGTGCTACGACTTCAAAGTTGCGTGGTTGAAGTACGTCATAAATTAACCTATCGCAACCCGGGAAGCCGAGCGATTTGCAGTTTCATGTTCCGAGTTTCCAATCGTAGTCCTTATTTCGTCGCGTAGATCTGTGCCGATTATTCCGATCCGTATTTCTTTCTTCGATATTTGCAACTTCATATTTTTGCCAAGATGGCTTGTTGTGCTTGCCTCAATCATGCATATAATTTCATTATATAAATAAATACTGGGTTGGGAGGGAGCATCAGGGTATCATTCAAACTGAAACTGGACGATGGTATGATTGACAGCCGGAGTCTAGGAGGGAATAAACACTATCATTTTCTTTATCCTACCGATTCGATTGTGGTGGTGTGAATTCTACTCCAACAGTTTCAGGGCGATTGACGCGCCCTTCTCAACAAACCATCCAGTAGGAAGCTTAATAAGTATTGCGAATTGTGTTATTCGATTTGTTGGAGCGTATCGTTGGAAGGAGATTCTTAAATTCCCGTGGATTTCGCGTAAGTGTCTCTGCTTACGGGTCCGCCCTTCCGTTTTTGGCCCTTCATACAGCGATATAGTGAATTCAGATCGGTAGCTCAGATTGATCTTGCTATTAAGTGGAGCTGCATACAAGACAAGTCTTGAAAGGATGGTGGCTACCTTACATACATACAGATGGCTTGTTGTGCTTGCCTCAATCCCTTGTCTCGCCGGGGGACCATCGTGCACAGCTATGTTTAGAGTCCCACGCTGGCACTAGGACGGTGATCAGCCGCTCCTAACATGGAGAACAGACGCCGTTTTGAGCCGCACCTCCATGGTGAACAGACGCTTAGGTTTGGTGAAGTATTTCCTCTATCACCGTACTATGGTTACCGCGCCAGTGATCGCGTTCCACCTCTTCACTTTGCTATTGCTACGCCATCCAGCTGTGTTCATGTTTCAGCTGGTAGTCTTTTGTTATCATATGACTCGAGGAGGCGTGAGGTAGGAACTTGTGATGACCTAGGGTCCCGTTCCATGTTTGCATTTTATCATGGGGCCGTCACATTATGTCACAGACAGTGACCTAGAGTTATACAATTAGGAAGGAAACTAGGGCATACCGATGGCACCCCGAGCGCGGGCCTTTAAATTGTGCTTGTGCCATGATAGCAGTTTTTTCAAGTTCACACAACAGCGCAACGCAACGCTGCGCCAGAAGGGTGTTTTGTTATTTCTCTCAGCAGCATGTGGCTCTGAGAGAATAGAGTGCACGGCGAATGAGGACGACTCAAATTTGAGTTTAGTTCACTCATAATCGCCAAAAGTGCAGGAACTCAGCGATGAGTAAAATTTGTCCCATGGTTTTCTGTGGAAAACCTAAAAAAATTGCCGGAAAATGGGGAAATTGACGAAAAATTTATTCAGTCTCAGAGTAGTACCAATAGACTGAGTGAATCCAATCTTTACTTTTCTCAAATTCGGGAATTTTTCCCTAGAAAATCCTGGAAAAACCTGGGAAAACATGAGGCAAATTAACTCATCGCTGAGTTCCTGCACTTTTGGTGATTATGAGTGAACTAAACTCAAATTTGAGTCGTTCTCATTCGCCGTGAGAATGAACTTCTTGTTAGTACAAGAGAAGAATGCTAGGGTATATATAAGTAAAATTAGTGAATAAAGCTGGGTTGTCTTGTTTAGAGTCGGTGTATAATGAGTCACGCCAAGAGAAAAACAGTTGAACTAGCATCACGATTTTCGAAAGATTCCCTTTCTTTTAACTTGGCAACAGAGGACTTCTACATCAACTTCAAATGAGCAAAAGTTATAGCGGCTGTAGTAAATCATTATATCAGTGATTTTTTCAAATTATCTTAACAAAAAAATAGTAGAAATTCTCATTACTGATTACCAAACGTATCCCATGACAATTGAATGATCACTGCGGGCTTATTATCATTTCTTCGATTATATTTTATATTTTATTGCAATACCTTTCGTGGACCTTTCATAGCATCGTAATGTTTGTTTACTTTGCACGATAGGTAGCTGGTTTGACAGTTCGATAGGTAGACTAGGCTTCACTCTTGGCGTGACTAATTATACACCGACTCTAGTCTTGTTGTATCTGAACCAGTGTCGGGTAGTTTGTTTGATGACCGCCGGCCACGCACTAGGTATTCCGCTCCTTCCAGGCTGTCAACTCACCATTTTGTAGCCCAATTGGCTTATCCGATTCGATGCTCCATCAACTTGAAATTTTCACAATGGAAAGATCTCATCAATTTCTACCTGTAGAACAAAAAATGTGTTAGAGATAGAAGGGTTTCCCCGTTTTACCTTTGTTACTATCGTAACATAAGGTATCAAAATTGAATTTCACACTTCTTTCCGTCTGTGAACAATAGCCAGCCACACAAACTATCTCACCTGTATAAAACATTCCCAATCGATAGGTCTTTGAAATGTGCTGTGTATCGTTCAGAATCATAAGAGCCTAACTCAAGGGGTTGGTCACTCCGCACAGTGTGCCAAAAATACAGATGGACACACCTGGGCACTTTCATTGGCACCCATGGTTAGAAATTTTCATGATATTTAAAGTTACTGGCATCACTGTACTATATCTGCGCCTGCTCTGTGCATGTGTCAAAATGTTAATTATTGTTGCTGGCCCAATTTTTAGTTTCATAACTTCAACCGTGAATGTCCGGCCAAGTTCTGCCATGGATTCCTCACAGCGCACATATTTTCAAAACATTAGATAAAAACCGGTCAAAAGTCAACGCGGTATGCATGCGGGATGAGCGAAGTCATCAAGACGATGACCGTTGCCAAGTACAACTGTAATCTAGGAGTGATACTGGAATTCTTCCGGATGGTGCTGGAGTCGCTACCGGAAGACTTCAAGATCGGAGAATCTCTACTCAAAGATCTGGTGTGGAAGGCTTTGGTGTTTCAGAACAGTTTGATCGAAGTTGGGAAGGGGGTGGCATCGTTCCGGAAGATGATTGAAAAGATGACCATGAAGGGACTGCTGTCGATTCAGAATGTGATTAGTGAGGTGGTTAGTGAGGAGGGCCTGACCCTGAAGGAGAAAGTGAAGGGAACGTTGAAGCCGTTGGTAGATCGATTTGGGGCAAGGGGATTCGTGACGGAGCTGAAATCACAGCCGAGGTTAAGTGGAATTGTAAGATTGATCAGTTGTTCTTGGTTCACAGTGCTTGCTGCCACCAGTAAATTCAAAATTCTCCCATCGTATTCTAACATTTGTCAATACCCCTTGATGCACATGCGCTCTATGTCTTCACCCCATGAGAACACATTCTGAAGCTTCCTGTCGTCGTCCGTCGTTATTGTTGTTGCTTGTAAGGACGTCGAATGAACTCCCCATCCTTATAATAGCATGTTGCATGCTCTGCACTACTAGAACTTGAACGATTTAGCATTTGTTTGATAATAGCAATCAGGACGGGAGCTGTTCGGTGTTCATTTCGCCTCTCGTCTCACACACTTTTTGACACATTGTCATCCTTGTTTGTCATGCTCCAGGTGAATATCAGCAAGCACTTTATCCTTTGCTTTGTTCGTATCTCGTTGCATTTGGAAACATCCTATTGAAAAGATAGCCAGCGGTTACCGATAGGAACAATATCAGTCGACAGTTTTAAGTTACTCTTCGGTTTGAGAAAGATTTTGCCGCATCTCGCAGAATGCGATCTTGACCAAATCGGTCCGCGTGGTGGTGGAGTACGGGAAAAGCGTCGTCGTGAGGGCAAATTTAGCACTAAGAAGAACAAGAGGTTCACTATTCGGGGTGAAAATTCTATGTCAGTGTGTTACGTACTCGAATCGAATCGAATCCGGACGACAGCAGCGACCGAGAAGCGACTCCGTGAACCAACAACCAATATTCTAACATAATGATGCAAAAATGTCAATTATAATAGCAATCGTATTCATGGGATTCATCGAAGCAGGTAGGTGGTGCCGGATATTTCGACTACGACAACGACAACCCGCAGGCGATGAAAAATTTAATCAACCATGGGTCGTCGGTTTTGTTAATTGCAGGCCGTTCGCAGTATCTGACCAATACCGTGCACAAGACCCCCGCCGCGTCCGAGAAGATAAACGACCTCTGGTGCTACTCCTGCAATGCAACCGAGGATAACGAATCGTGCATCGACCTGACCGGAAATAATTCCTCCTTCATCAAAAAGTGCTTCTCGGACGAGTTTATCTGCATGGTGAGTGTAATGATGATGAACGATGATGATGATGATGATGGGCGATGAGAGTTGTTATATGCATTAGCCTATGTTTACTCATATGTTCCTTCAGGATGGGTGAAGTCTATTTTTAGACTGTCTACCACCCACCCTTGGCCCAGTGAGTACTTGAGTAAATAGCTGTCATAACCTATTTTAAGAACATATTTTTTTCGGAATAGGAAAGGCGAGATAAAACGGTGCAAAGCATTCGGAGTCTAGAAAAACGTAAAACACGTACTGAAATTGCAATTTTGATCAAAATTTGCTTTTCGTACCATGTTATTATTGATGTTGTGCACACTTAGTTTTTTCTACCGAGCTCAGCTGTGCAAAGCTCGGCAAAAATAAGTTTCACTGAGATCTCAGCAAAAGCGACATTTGATTGCTGAGTCTCGGATAATGCTTAGCTGAATCTCAGCAAACAATTGAAATGTTTGCTGAGATCTCAGTAAAGGTCCGTTTATACTATCTGATTTCTAGGTCTGATTTTGACCGCCACCATAACGAAAAATCTGCTCGAATTTACTTTCGACACACTTTGTCGAACACCCCTGTTTGCTATAGTCGCTATATTCATAGTCTGGCGAATAAAATTTCGATCTATCAAAAAATGGAACCAGTTCAATATATTTTAGACCAACAATTGAAAAGGTACTATCAACTTTTATAAACAAACCGTTGATTAACTTTCCCCAATCCGAAGATGGTGTTAGTTTGCGTAGGCGAGCCTTGAGTCACGAGAAAAGGGTTTCCGCAGTTTTGTTCGCAATAGCTGATGTGCTCTTTTCTGTTGTTGGTCGTGATTTGCTCGATTGGTTCCGCTATTTGACAGCTCAATTGGTTCCCGAGATTCTATCCGCCAGACTATGAATATAGCGACTATACTGTTTGCTGGTGTTCACACTGCTTGCACATGTCGAAAGAACTGTCAATTTAGATTTCAAAATAAAACTGTATCAGGAATCAAATGTAAATACTTACATCATGAATTACCAGAAAATTGCTCTAGCCTCGGCTCTAGCTTTCTTCGACAGGCGTATTTGCGTTTATTATTTTAAATATAATTAGAAGGAGAAGGTGAACTCTGTAGGATATGGTTGCTCAGGAGAAACACCGGCAGGGATCTGGCTCATCTTGTTCTTCAAGAACTAATATATGAAGAAGAAAAAGGATTTCAAAACTTCGCCAGGATGTCGATACCAACTTCCGACAAGCTAGTGGGACAAGTTCTCTATAGATCTAAATGATTCCTTGAGTTCTGAAAATTTCTGTTAAGATCTCAATTCTGCTTATTTCTTTGAAGACCTTCGGACGTCCTTGAAGTTTTGTTTCTGTTCTCTGGTAAAATATCTTTAAAGATCAACAGTTTTGTGGATTTATTTGAAGTTCTGTGTGTTCTCCAGAAGTTCTGCAAAATTCTCAAAAAATCTACAAAGACTCAGGATCCCTGTAGATTTAAGATCCTTAAAGATCAATATTTATCTCTGATTTTCACTAATAATCTGTGCACTTCCCGTAAATTCTGTAATTTTCACTGTAGATTTTCATGATTCAATTAATTTCTGCAAATATCTCTGAACATCTTCACAATTCCCTAAAGTATTAAAAGTTTATCTAGACCGAAGGGGGCGACTCTATCTACGATGCAGGAAAAATTGTATTTTGCTGTGGTTAGCTGCGCGCACGCTGAGCAGATTGATAGAAGATTGATGACGATTCTGAAGATTTCCTGTAAAAAGATGATACGCGATGCAAGTAGATGCGAGAAATTAAAGAAGATTTTTCGAAAATGTATTCACTAGTGTGAGATTTGTTGAGCATCTAGAATAGAAATTTAGATGTGTCGCCCCCTCGATCTAGACATTGTTTAGCTTTTCGGAAGTTTTAAGAAGTTCTCTGAAGATCTACTAAATTTATGAAGTTGTGCAAATATCACTAAAGAGCAGTGAACTTCCATGAAGTTCTGTAAATTTCTCTCAAAATCCAAGAACCACATTAAAATTTTGAAAATTTATTTAAACATCTGCAGATTTTTCAGTAGATTAACGATACTTCACGCTCTGATGAGACAACAACCTCGACAATGTACCTCTCTAACCTTGAGTAAGCCACGAGTATTCGGCCCAACTCGTACTAGACATAGAATTAAGTAAATTTTCTTACAAACAAAAAACAATGAACTATTGACTCCGTATAGCTAACGCGATTGAGCCTTCCAAATAAACGAACTAGTTTAAAAAAACGATCTTCTCTCTGAACTTTTCTGAAGTTCCTAAAATTTCTTTAAAATTCTGTACAGTTTTCTGAAGTACTGTATTTCTGCTCTGAAGATCTACAAACTGCCCTGAAGTTCAATAAATTTCTCAAAAGATCTTCAAACCTCTCTAAAGTTCGGAAAATTTCTTTGTGGATTCTTGGATTTCTATATAGTTCTGCAAATTTATCTGAAATTCTTTGAAATTCCCCAAAGCTCTACAAATTATCTGAAAATATTTCAACTTTGCTGATGTTTTAAAAATTTCTATGAAGATTTATGGATCTCTCTGAAGTTGTGTAAACACTTCTAACGATCGGCGAACTTTCCCGAATTTCTTTAAGTTTTGCTGAAGATTTGCAATTTTTTCTAAAAATTTTCGATCGTCCTGAAGTTTTACAACCTTCTCTTTTTTCTATAATTTTAAGGATTTTTCTGAAGATCTCACATTTTTTCTGAAACTGTGAAGCTTTCTTAACCACTGAATGTCTTTGAAGATCTGCAAAATTCCTAACAGTTCTGCAGATTTCTCTTAACTTTACTGAAGTTCGGTATAGTTGTCTGGGGCTCCGTAGTTCTATTCTCAAGATCTTCGAAGAAAAAAAACCTTGAGGCTCAATCCTGCTTTCCATGCTCAGTAAATGTATCCTTCACTGTGCTATCTAGAGGTTCAGATTTTGACCCCTCCTTTTCCCTCTCACAGAAACAGAAGAAAATGGAACAACATAGACCTTTTTGACGTTAAATTGTCTTTCTCTATCTAACACACATGGATGAATGGACGGTTTATTTTCCCACCAATCTGTTGCCCTCTTGCTCGTACTCGTTCGTTTTAAATGATGCAGTAGTGTGCGCCGATTAAACGTCAAAAAGCTCTATACGCCCTCCAGTGCACAGTGGAGGATACATTTATTCATACAAACAGGCCACCATTACCGAGCATGGAAAGCTGGATAAATTTCTCAGTAGATCTGCAAACTTCTCTGAAGTTTTGTAAATTCTTCTGTAGGCTCTCGGGCTACCCTGAATATCTGAAAAATGTCCTTTAAGATCATCTAAATTACCAAAAGTTTTCAACATGTATGTGAGCATATTTGAGCTTTAAATGTCTCCCTCAAAATCTACAAATTTTCCTTAAATCGTATGAATATTACTTAAAAAAATGGCCGAACTTCCCTGAAGTTCTGCAAATTTCACTGAAGATCCACTAAAATTAAAAAAAAAAAAATTAAATGTATCAGAAAATCTGCACACTTTCTTGAAGATCTACAAATTTATCTGAAGATCTATGACCATTCTTGTCAGTTTTTCAGAAGTTCTGTAAATTTTTCCAAAGATTTGTAGCTTTGTTATGAAGATCTATGAACTTTTCTGATGTTCAATAATTTTTCAGTAGATCTCCAAAGTTCTGTGAAATTCTTTACATTTCACTGTAGATTCTTTGACTTGTCTGAAGCTCTGCGAATTTCTTTGAATATTTGCAAAATTTCGCTTATAGTTTTACAAATTGATCTGAAAATAGTTAAGCTTGCTTGAAGTTTTTAAAATTTCTTTGTACATTTATCCAAACATCTACGATCTCTCTTGTGAATTTTTCTGATTTTTTTTTTAATTTCTGTAAAATTTCCTGATGTTTTGTAGTTCTGTTCTCAAGATCTACGAACTACATTGAAGCTCAACAAATTTCTCAGTAGATCTCCTAACCTCACTGAAGCTCTAAAAATTCTTAGTAGGCTCTCAGACTAGCCAATGACACTGGAAAATAAAAATCAGTCAAATCATACACAGGACAATATTGAATAATGAAATCGGCTAGAAAATCGGTTTACCTTGCTGCTGAATGTCACCAAAACACAAATCTAGCGGTCTTTTGCTGTTCAAATCTGTGATATTAAAAAAAAAAAATATTTTTCACCTCACTAGTAGCTATTTTGCTGAGTGAGTCGAATGAAAATTCAAAACAAACCTATTGAAACATCAAAGCGGGATCGACTCCTAGATGGCGCACGGGTGAAAATGATGATCGAATATTTTATACCTGTCAAAGCGCATTACATTTTTTTGTTGTGGTTTAAAAAATACGTAGAATCTTTAAAACTACGAACATTTTTAGTAAGAAAGTGTTCCGCGATTGTTAGAAACTTGTCGCAGAAGTGATTACAATAGTTTAACGGTGAATTGAATAGCTGTATTGGCTGCTAGTATCGCTTTTGTTTTCGAAATGCAGAAGTGCGTAGTTCCCGCTTGCCAGAACTGTTTTGGTGGATCCGGAAGTTCTACTACATTTTTTAAAGTTCCCTCTTCTGGCTATCCAGCATTCAGAAAATGGAACCATTACATGAAACTATCCGGTGAGCGAACCGAAAAGATATGTGGGGCACATTTCACTTCGACGGACATCATTGAAAGTAAGTAATTTTTTGCATTAATTATTTTGCACATACTAATAAAATATTTTAGATCATCGCGTTAAACTGAAAATAACGGCAATACCGTCATTGAATCTACCCAAGACGAGCAGCAAAATACGCACCGATGACGGTGCTTGCTGCATTACGGGATGTCCAACAAGGAGGGTGAAAAATCTACACCACTTTCCGTCGAACAATCGCACACTGGCAGCTTGGATTCGAGTGCTGGATATTCGGAACGAAATTCAAAAAAGTTTGCTGATGGTCTGCAGTCGTCATTTCAAAAAGACGGATTTCTGTACAGGTATTTT